CTTGAAAGATGTATTCCTGGCAGGGAAGTATCAATCACACAAAAATACAACAGGAAATAGTTTTTGTTTTTTGTTTTTCTAGCCAACCAACATTTATTTTTCCAGTCAACACTTGCACAGATGTTACTGTCCACGTCCTGACCCTAGTAGAGTGGGGGGGGGGGGGAGATCCCACCACACTAGGATCATCCATGGCCCCTAGAGAGCAGTCTCTTTAAACCTTCCTAGGATAGTAAGAAAGCCCTTCACCCCAACAGGATGGAGCTGCTGCTCACTAATGCAGTGCTGGTGCACGTGCTGTGGGATTCCCGCTCTCCTCCCTTCTCAGGGAAGGTTGGGATGAAGTAGGGCAAGGATGCAGTGGAGTTTTTGTGAGCTACACTTACCTAAGCACATAACCACTGGCCCGACCTACCACCCCAGGTTTAGTCTGCACCACCCAGGCAAGAGCTTCCTTGAAGCTTAGCCATGACCTGCTAGGAAGGAGGAGGTGGCAAAGAGCACAGAGTGAGCTGCAAAAGACAGGACACAGCCAGGAAATAAAGCAGAGAAGGACATGGGACAGGAGAGGAAAAGGATAAAGTACCCAAACTAAACCACCAGTGGGACACAAGGACAGAGCAGCACAGGTCCTTGAGGATAGGAGGAAAATAGAAAGGGCTAGACCACCAGGGCTTGAGGCATAGTGGAATGAGAAGAGAGATGAGGCAGGGAGGCAAGTGCAGGGTGGGAAGGACTTCCCTTAGCCCTGTTCACATCCACTAACCCAAGTGTAAAATTATTTACAAATAGTCGAATAAAGTAAAAAACATTTTTTACTTTATTCCAACCCACAATTGAAAATTTTAAAATTGAATAATAATCTGGGAAAATAATAATATCAAATGAATAGGTGGTAGATGACGGTGCTTCCCCAGTAGGAATGTGGTGAATTCACATTCAGGGAATTCAGATCACAGTCCATAGAAGTCGTGGAAGTCAAGGACATCTGCTATATTATAACCCCGTGAGCTCAGTGGTAGACAAATTCACTCAAAGAATGGTGAATGTAGCTTTGCCTGCTGTGAGATGAAATATTTTGATCCTACACCCAGTTTTGTCAACCGTGCTTCTACAGGCTGCCCCTGGAGCCCAGAGAGGTCTGTGTCACTGGGGATAGAGATTAGAAATAACACTGGTGGCCTGTGGACTGCATCGGGCACAGAGAGTGTGTTTTAGTAATTTGAGCCAATGCTTTAAAAATAAGTTGGGGGATCCCTGGGTGGCGCAGCGGTTTGGCGCCTGCCTTTGGCCCAGGGCGCGATCCTGGAGACCTGGGATCGAATCCCATATCGGGCTCCCGGTGCATGGAGCCTGCTTCTCCCTCTGCCTGTGTCTCTGCCTCTCTCTCTCTGTGACTATCATAAAATAAAAATAAAAAAAATTTTAAAAAAAATAAAAATAAAAAATAAAAATAAGTTGGTGTCAGATGAAAATTGGCATTTCCTTTATTTATTTGAGAGCGAGTGTGAGAGAGAGTATGAGCACGCAGAGGGAGCCAGAGAAGCAGGCTCCCCGCTGAGCAGGAAGCCGGCTGGGACTCTATCCTAGGATGAGCAGGATCATGACCTGCGCTGAAGGCTGGCTCTTGACCCCAAAAATGGGCATTTCCATCTTGTTCTGGAAATTCAGAAGGGCAACACTGGGCTTGCACACTTGCAAGGCAACAATGAGCTGAAGCTAGGACACAACTGTTCCTTTAGATAATAGCTCTCTCTCTGAAACCTCAACCTAAACTGTGCTCCCCTGTCCCCCATTCATAAGCTGAAGCCCTAACTCCCAAAGTGGCTGTATTTGGAGACAGGGCCCTCAGGGGGGCTCTTCAGGTTAAGTGGGGTTATAATGGGGGATCCTAACCTGATGTGTCCCTCCTCCCCTGGGCACAGGTGTACAGAGGAAAGGCCATGTGAGGACCTGGAAGAAGGTGGCTGTCTGCAAGCCAGGAGAAGAGGTCTCAGGGAAACCAATCCTGCTGGGCCTCACGCTTGTACTTCCAGCCTCCAGAACCGTGAGCAAATCAATGGCTGTTGTTTCATCCGCTCAGTCTGTGGCACTCTACGAGGGCAGGTCAAGCCTACTATTATACAGCTCATGCTCTGGAGGAGAGAGTTCTCTGGGAGTTCCTCCCCATGACCCACCCTACAGACCTGTCATCTGACCACTTCTCTGACACCATTGCCTCCCCATTCCTACTACACTGCTCTAGCTTGGACTTCTGGATCCCTCCAGGATCTGCAGCCTTTTAACTGGGGCTTCAGTCTTATCTCCACCCCACCTCTGCACCCCTTTAAAATCCAGCCACCCTGAGCTAGAAAGAATGCTCCATCTAAAAGTTAAAACAGAACCACATCATTCTGGCCATTAAGCCCTCACGGCCACAGTGGCTCCCACCAGACTCTTTTGCTTCTAGCACCAATAGCACTAAGTCCAGCACAGGAAACAAAGTTCAGGTCATCGGGATGGACCCATGGGGGTGCTGGCATGCATCAAAGCACCCATGAAGCCGTGTGGACTGTAACAAAGTGCCAAACAAGAGATGCAAATAGAATTCAATATGGAGATAAGGGAGTTACACATTTATTCCCACAGGAGGACTCTGGGTGTGTCTCCTAGAGAAGATACTGTCATGGAAGATGGGACAGCCTTGGACAAGTGGACACGGAGTACGGAACGGCCGTAAAGTGCATGCATCCTTCTTGAGCCTGTGAGTTCTCCAATGTACATTCCAGAATAAATAAGTGAATGGGGTCAGTGAGCAAGACAAATGCCTACTCAACATAATGGCAGCCGAAGCAAACATTTGAAGACATGAATGGTCAGTAAATTCAAAGATTTCCAGCTAAATCCATTCTAAATCCTAACAAAACCAAGAACCTTTCTCAGTTTAATTCAAATCTATATAAAATCCGATAAACAATGTCAACCTGACACAACAGTATGTGTTTTAATGTTGATGTCATCAGGCGAAAGATACCATATACTTTTCCCCTAAAGAGTGAGTCAATGTCATTTCCAATATGATGTTGATATACAAGCTATATTAGGCTATGAGATAATGTCTTTAAAGAGGGTAGTCATTTAACATGTGTCACCAGGAGTCTGCTCTTTGGAGCACACCATTCCCTTCTTTAGATATTATCTCCCAGTTCCTTTTCAAAAACCACAAGTCTATTAATTTTTACATATGTCAAACATGTTCTGCTTCACATATTCTTTTTTTTTTAATGAGTTTATTTGTGAGAGAGCGAGCATGAGCAGGCAGGAAGGGCAGAGGGAGAGGGACAAGCAGGCTCCCCACCCAGCAGGGAGCGCATTTGAGACTCCATCCCAGGACCCTGAGACCATGGCCTGAACTGAAGGCAGATGCTCAACCAACTGAGCCACCCAGGTGCCCCTTCACATATTCATTTTTTTTAAGATTTATTTATTTATTCATGATAGACGGTGGGGGGGGGGAGGGCAGACACAGGAGGAGGGAGAAGCAGGCTCCATGCCAGGAGCCCGATGTGGGACTCAATCCCGGGACTCCAGGATTGCACCCTGGGCCAAAGGCAGGCGCTAAACCGCTGAGCCACCCAGAGATCCCTCTTTTTTTTTTTTTTTTTTAATTCTGTTCAACACTATCACTTTAAAACAGCACCATGTTGCCACAACTCTAGACCTTATTCATTTTATTCGTCCTTCATTTCTTGAGACCACAATCCTTCCCTTTTCAAGTTATTTTTGTCTGATGTACTTAAAAATTTTGGCTTGAGTAATTGCAAATTAATCTCTTTCCAGAAAAATAAGTGGGTAGGAGCATACTCCGAGCACCTGCATTTTTGAAGAACTGTTTCACCCTATATATAATAGTTTGAGGTATGAGGTCGTAAGATTATACTTCTGTATTTTCACACCTCTGAAAACACTGCTCTGTCATGCTGTAGAAGTTGGCACTGTAGATGAGAACTCTGCTTCTCATCTCGTCCTCTTCCCTTTTTGGGCGAGCTGCTTGCCTATTAATCTTTTTCTTCTTTGCTTCTCCCCCCCAACTCCCCTTTCCCTTTCCAACTGAAGACTTAATTGGTTCTCTAAACGTTATATACAAACTCCCTTCATTTACACCCAGGTGTCTTACTCAGGTCATGGAATGGGTTCTTTTCCTATGCATAACAGAGCACGGAGGTAAACTGTAATCTTCCTTATATCTCACAAAATTTGGGTCAAAGCCCACATATTAAATGTTGTTGTTGTTTGCCTTAAAATCTAAAAGGCAACAAGCAGCGTCGGGAACTCATGATTTTTTTTTTTTTTGCTTTTTTTTATTCTACAGTACAGTGCATAGAAAACTGCTCTGCTTGCTGCAGCGCAAGCCCTGAGGAAATCCTCGCAAACCAAGCAGTCGCTGGTGACTCGGTGCCCACCTTCCCGCCGGCAGCCGGCACCGCGCACAGCTCTCGGGAGCCGCCCGGCTCTCCCGCTTCTGCTTCTGCGCGAGAAGCAAACGTTCTGAGAAGAGCAGGGCCGGAGCTACTCACTGCGGCAGAACCGCCGCCCCAGCAGCCGCTGAAGTTGCTGCTCTGAAGGGAACAAGCCACACCTACCGCCCGCTCTGCCCTAATTCTGTGATGGGAACGAGAGCCTTGAGGCCGCGCCGAAAGGTCGTACCGTCTCCCGCCACTTGTGCGCCGAAGACAAAGTGCGGGGCGACTACAGCTGCGGGAGACGAGGGGTCTGCGTGGCCGTCCCCGGGATCGCAGCCTGGGGACGCAACGCGCCCGAGGGCCGACGTGCCCAGAGAAGCTCATTCATTACGAATAAACGGGCAATCGGCCCAAATCACCAGGCGCGGAAAGCAGCAAGATCGCCCGGGAATGTGTTCTCGGCCACATCGCGGAAGTCAGTGTCGTCGGTGGAGCAACCGTCGCAGCCACGACTCCGCCCCCCCCCCCCGGGGCCCGCGCCCGGCGCCCCGCACCTACCCAGCAGCAGGAGCCGGTGCGTCTGCTGCAGGTCGCGCTTCTGCTCGCGAAGCATGCGGTCGATGCTCCTGCTGACCTTCCTGGCCTCGCGCTCCGCCTCGCGCTCCTCCGCCCGCTGCTGCTCCGGACGCCGTCGCCGCTCCTCCTTCGGGGCGGCCCGGGGGCGCGCGCACGCCGGGCTCCCGCCGGGGCCCCGAGGCAGCGGGGTCTGCGCCGCCACTCCCCCCAGCGCCGTCGGGCCCCGGGCGGGGGCGGGGGCCGGGGCCGGGCCGGGGCCGGGGTCTGGCGCGGCCGCGCGTCCTCCGCAGGCGCTTCCGCGGCGGCGCGGGCCCCGTCCTCCGGGTCGCCGAAGAGCAGCGGCCGCAGGCTGTAGCACAGACCCATGTGGACGCGGGGCTCAGGCCGGGGCCCAGGCGGAGGGGCGGGAGGGGGCTACACCCGGACCCCGCGCGGCGCTGCCGCTCACTCGTTGCGGGCTGGGGGCGCGGCGGGCCTGGGCGGGGGTCCACGGCCCCTCACTGTCCCGGAGGGCCATTTTGCATTTTCCGCCGGGTGCAGGGGGTGGTGGCCGCCTGGGCTGCCGATCACCTGATAACGCGGCGAGCCGGCCGCGCCGACGGCCTCCGCGAGTCCGGCCCACCGTTACCGTAAATACCGTCTCCGCGAGCCCGGCCCTGTTACCGTAAACACCTTCTCCGCGAGGTCCGTCCCCCGTTACCGTAAGTACCGTCTCCGCGAGCCCGACCCCGGTACCGTAAATGCCGCCGCGAGGTCCGTCCCCGGTACCGTAAATACCGCCCTCGGTGGTGCCCCCGTGATAGCACCGCGCCGCGTGGCCCAGCCTCCAAGGCGGTGGTACCGCCTCGCGCCCGGGCCTTCCATACCGTCAATACGGTTGCCCGAGCCCACTCGCAGCTGCGGGCAGTGCCGCAGTGGCGGCGCTGCTGCCGTCACCACCCAGAGCTGCCATTGCAGCACTTAAAACAACCACCGTGGCTTCGATCTGGGATGGTGGTAAATATGAACGGGAAACCTAATAAAGGGGTAGAGATGGTAGCTTTCAGGTCTTGAATTGCCGGATCTATTACCTGCAGAGAGCACCGCACCTTGCCTCTCCTTTTTCACTTACACGCTGGACTTGTCTGCACGCTTTTGATCCTTGATTCTGTTATGGCTTTGATCTTGACAAAATCTCCAGGGGGTCCATGACATCATTTTTAACAATTACAATTATTAAACATTGCAAAGAAGAACATGTAATTGTCATACACTTTTTTATTTGCTAAAACAAATATATGAAATTGCACTCTGTATCCTGTTTTTTAATCCACAGTATAGGGCAGAGAGGAGCAGAGGCATATTTCTCCAGGCCTCCTATGGATACAGACCCACCAGAGATCTCCACCATCTCCATTATTTCCCACTTAACATCCTTCATCTTTGATAGCTTTTAAGAACTGTGTTATACAGCAAAGAAACAAACAATCCAATCATGAAATGGGCAAAGGACACGAAGAGAAATCTCACAGAGGAAGACATAGACATGGCCAACGTGCACATGAGAAAATGCTCTGCATCACTTGCCATCAGGGAAATACAAAACCACAATGAGATACCACCTCACACCAGTGAGAATGGGGAAAATCAACAAGGCAGGAAACCACAAATGTTGGAGAGGATGCGGAGAAAAGGGAAACCCTCCTGCACTGTTGATGGGAATGTGAACTGGTGCAGCCACTCTGGAAAACTGTGTGGAGGATCCTCAAAGAGTTAAAAATAGACCTGCCCTACGACCCAGCAATTGCTGGGGATTTACCCCAAAGATGCAGATGCAATGAAACGCCGGGACACCTGCACCCCGATGTTTCTAGCAGCCATGTCCACAATAGCCAAACTGTGGAAGGAGCCTCGGTGTCCATCGAAAGATGAATGGATAAAGAAGATGTGGTCTATGTATACAATGGAATATTACTCAGCCATTAGAAATGACAAATACCCACCATTTGCTTCAACGTGGATGGAACTGGAGGGTATTATGCTGAGTGAAGTAAGTCAATCGGAGAAAGACAAACAGTGTATGTTCTCATTCATTTGGGGAATATGAATAATAGTGAAAGGGACTATAAGGGAAGGGAGAAGAAATGTGTGGGAAATATCAGAAAGGGAGACAGAACATAAAGACTCCTAACTCTGGGAAACGAACTAGGGGTGGTGGAGGGGGAGGAGGGCGGGGGGTGGGGGTGAATGGGTGACGGGCACTGAGGGGGACACTTGATGGGATGAGCACTGGGTGTTATTCTGTATGTTGGTAAATTGAACACCAATAAAATTAATTTATTAAAAAAAAGAACTGTGTTATAAACACGTTCCTTAATTTCTAGCACAATGACATGAAATATTACAACTGTTTAATATATCTAATATAAATCTGACTAATAGCATCACATTGGTCTGTTTAATGCAACACCGCACGTAATAAGGGTACACTGTACCAGTTGGCCCTTGGTTTTTATATTACATTTGATTACATTTTTATTTTATTATTTTTAAAATCTATTTTGAAAGATAACTTATTTCTTTTATGTACAGAAAATTCAACAGCATCCACTCAGCCCAGTTTCCCAGCCAGTTGTTTAGCCTTTACCTTCTCCAACTTGGCAATGTGATCCAGACCCGGGACATTGCCTCCCCAGTGATGGTGGATCTCATCATATCTGTCGTTGTAATTGGTCCTGATGGCTGCCATCAGCTCAGTCAGAGCTTCTTTGTCTTCTTGTGTGGAGGCAGCAGTGGTGCAGGTCTTCCTGTGGAGCAGGCCCCGAGAACCTGGCCTTCCCCCTGTTAATGCAGTAGAGAACCCCCTGGGCAGGCCGGAAGACAGTGGGATCCACATCATGTGGACTCACTACCATCTGAGCCTTCTTGTTTTCCACAGAGATGGTGGCAGTATTAACCCCAGCTTGAAGGACAGGCGGCCTCTTAGTGGGGACATTCCCTTTGCCAGCAGCTTTCTTCTCAGCCCAAATCAATCTCTGCTTCTTCTCTCGCTTCCTCTCTGGTCTGTACTTGTGAGCCTGCTTAAGCAGGTGACTAGCTTTTTGGCAGCCCTGGTGAACTAGTTAACCATGGGAGGCATTTTTAGATATTTATAGAGAATAGCCCTTTGCCACCACAGCCGGATGTAGCAGGGTCATTTCACAAAGCAGATGAGGTCCCTTTAGGGCTGGATGTCCTGTCTGATGCCAAAATTCTTGGGCCTTTTCTCAAACGGGACTGATCACCTTCTTGGCCCCTTGCTGCTTCACAACAGCAGGAGCAGGGGCCACCTTCTTCCCCTTCCCCTTCTTTCCTTTTGGCATCTTGGATGTCTGGAGGAGAAAGATACATTTTGATTATATTTTAAAAAAAATATTTGAGAGAGAGAGAGAGAGAAAGATCAGGAGGGGAAGGGCAGGGGGAGAAGCAGACACTGAGCAGGGAGCCTGAGGGGGCTCAATCCCAGGACTCTGGGGGTCAGGACATGAGCCGAAGGTAGACACTTAACTGAGACACCCAGGCTTCTGATTACATTTTAAGAAGGACATTGGAGATCTAGATTACATTTATTTTAGGTCCCTGTTAATAACAAATACCATGTAATGTTTTGAACCTAACATTATCCCCCAAGTTTGCCAAAATTAGCTGCACTTGTAGGTTTTTGAGGAGTAGAATGAAGGACTATAGGAAATCTAACTTGAGAAAACAGAAAAAGCTATTAAGCATCACTGTGATTTTCAGTATTCATTCGCCTGCCCATCCTCCATTTATCCATTCACTTATTTAGTATTTATCAAGCACCAACAAAATGCTAAGCATTCTGGTTGGTATCCTTTGAAGCAAAAGACAGGAGTCTTTGTGGTATTCATATACTAGTGAAGCAGAAATATGTTCAATCAAATACAAGGATGCCTGGGTGGCTCAGTGGTTGAGCGTCTGCCTTTGGCTCAGGGCGTGATCCTGGGGTTCTGGAATCAGGTCCTACAGTGGGCTCCCTGCACGGAGCCTGCTTTTCCCTCTGCCTGTGTCTCTGCCTCTCTCTCTCTCTTTCTCTATATCTCTCACAAATGAATAAATAATATCTTTTAAAAAGTCATATGTACACAAATTAGTACATTTATTATGTATTTCAATTATGCAAATGCTGTGAAGAGAAGGAACAGGGTTCTCTAAGAAGGCCCAACTTAAATTGGGGAGGGAGGCAAAGAAAAGGGAAACAATAATTCAAAGGGATACACACACCTCTAAGTTTATAGTTAGCATCAGTTACAATGGCTGAGATATGGAAGCAACCCAAGTGTTCATTGATAGATGGATAAGGAAGCTGTAATATATATGTGTATATATATATATATAAAATACATATATGTATATTATAATTTATACACACAATATGTATATATATTACAATAGTATTAATACTATATAATACAATTATATTGTTAATATATAGTATTATATATACACACCCACACATATACACAATGAAATATTACAACAAGGATGGACCTAGAGGGTATTATGCTAAGTGAAATAAATCAGAGAAAGACAAATACCATGCAGTTTCACTCATGTGGAATTTAAGAAACAAAACAAATGAACAAAGAAGAGACACAGGCAAAAAAACAGACTCTTAAATACAGAGAACTGGTGTTTGCTTGAAGAGAGATGGGTATGAAGGGATAGGTGAAATAGGTGATGAAAATTAAAGAGTACACTTATCATGATAAGCACTGAGTAATGTATAGAATTGTTAAGTCATTATATTGTACACCTGAAACTAGTATGACACTGTATGTTAATTACACTTCAATAAAAAAAAATTGGTAGGGGAAGAAGTTTGTGTGTGATACAGGGAAGACCTTTCAGAGGAAGGGATATTTGAACTGGGAAGAATATATACCAATTCCTTTCCTGTTATAACTTATTAGACTTCAAGAAATGGATGACATTTTATATATTAAAGCCTGGTGAATATAGAAACAAATATAGTATAGATTTTATTTCTTAATTAAATAATAGTATAGTATTAATATAGTATTAATTTTATTTTTAATTAATTAATTTGAGAGTGAGACTGCTAGAACAACTGGGGTAAGGGGTAGAGGGGGAGGGAGAGGAAGATGGAAAGGGAAAGGGAGAGAGAGAGAGAGAGAGACAGAGAAAGAGAGAGAAAGAATCTCTCAAGAACACTCCAGGAAGAGCATGGAGACTGACTGGGGTGCAGTCTCACAACCATGAGATCATGACCTGAGCTGAAATCAAAAGTTGGATGCTTAACTGACTGAGCCACCCAGGTGCCCCTATTATAGATTTTTTAAAGTATGTAAATTACTATGTATCTAGATGAGAATTCACTCACCTTTACTTAAAAGTTACTTAAAAGAGTTTACTTAAAAGAGATAGAAGACAATGTTTTTATTAGTACCCAATATTATAAATTGAAAATAATTCTTAAAATCCTATTAAAAGAATCCAAGGAAGGTTTGTTGTGCTCATTTTGCGCATATTTCAATTTCTTTCAATTACAAATTATACAAAATTGGATTATGTCTTCTTTGCATAGGATAAATTAGAATAAAATATTTAATATTTATATATCACTTTAGTTAAATTTAGTGTTTTCTCTTTAACCAGTATGATTTTTAATTCATGAAAATTGGGTCATGTAAGCAAGCAATTTATAAAGTCAAAGA